TTTGACGTGCAGTGTATCAATAATTATTATATAATTCCATTTTTTTTAAATAAATCAATTTTGAAATAATTTATTTAATTAAATTATACAGCAATTTTGTGAAATGTTTAGTAATAATAAAAATATGTTCAATTTACCTATTCATATTAATTTGTATTTGCAATATAAATGTTGAGAGTGCAGTATAAATGTTATAAAAATTTCTATCAAAATTAAATTAAAATTATCTATAATTGAAATATGTATCGATCATGAAGAAGATTTTTAACACACAGCACATAAGTATTATACTAATGTCTCGATGAGAAAAGGATTTTATTAAGAACTCTAGTAAAAATATCTCTATTTGCGCATCATGAAGCAATATTATACCATTACTCTCATACTTTAAGATAAAACACCCTGTTCGATGGATGTTTTATTGCGATTAAATCGGAGTTGTTACGAGAAAGTATTATAGCTTGAACCAACGGACACAGAAATCGATAGAAACGAACAGGATTGATGAAGAGAAAGGTGGATAATCGTTAAATTAACGTGAAGAAAGAAATGAATAAGAGACAACCGCGAAAAATATCGGCAAGTGGAATGTTGGTTAATTTATGGGTAAGTCTAGTCTATGACGGAATTTGTACATGCATTATACTTTCCTGCATACCATGACGCATTTAATAATTAATATTTTAAAAACACGAATAGAATTTAAGGTCCATATATCTTATATATATTATATTAAAAATTATCACAAATATTTAAAAAATAATTAATTAATCGCGATTCTGCGATTTTTTCTACGTAACACGTACAACGTAAAATATAAAACTGTATTTAAAATATTAATAAAATATCAATTAAATGTGTCGCTAAATTGCATAATTTTGATTTTTAAATATGTTTAAATATGTTTTTTAATTTTATATTACACATTATTGCAAAAGAATATATTATAAGAATATATTATATTATTGTCAGATCTTCTCTTGTATTTCGCGAAATAAAAATTTTATTATGATATATAAAACAAATTTGTAATGTATATGAAAAATATTGCAATTTATAAATCAACAATATATTATAAATTTGATGTTATAATATTTTAATAAAAATAATTAAAAATAATTAAAAATAAGCTTCTACATTAAAAAAAAATAGCAGATATTATACAATAGCAGATATCTGAATCAATAATTTTTCATGGTTACTAATCAATCGCGCGTTCATAGGTAAAATAAATAGATAATATCTACATATACTACTAATGGACTGTTTGACAGAAAAGAAAAAGGAAAATAGAAATATCGTTGTTGTATATTCCATTAAGTAACTTATATGCTCAAGTCATTGGGCGAAAGCTTTTGTAGTATACCAGATACACTAATAAGATAGTATACAAATTGTATTTTAGCTATGGTATTTACTACTAGACACAGAGATATATCACAATATTTGTGCATTACAATTTTTATTGCACCATGTTATTGAATTGAAGATCAGAAAATGTTTAAAACAGTTTACTTGCTATACAACCTAAAATAATAAAATATAATAATAATAAAAAAAAATATATATATATATATTTCAAAAAAATAATTACATCTCACTTTTCCATATTTATGTGTGCATTCTAAAGATATTATAATTTATAATGTTGATCTTTACAAAAGAGTGGAATAAAACAATACAAAATATTGACCGAGTGTGGCACTCACAATCCTATAATATTTTATCCACAACCATACTATTTTACGTGAAGCTGGACGGTTTCCTTCTCGACACTCTCGCATAAGTAGGCGATTCAGGTGCCGCTTCATGCAAAGAGCCACGAAACGTAAAACAGAGCATAAAAAGAGCAATCCATGAGGTAGATGAGAAGGAAGCCTCCCATAAGGAAGCCGAGTTTACGAGATTATTGTCCTACGGGCCCTATTCATTCAACATGGAATCTGCAGGCGGATCTCTATTGTAGATTATTGCGCCATTGTCCATTGTCGCGCAATCCGCCACAACTGGCTTTCTTAGATCTCTTTGACGTAAGCGAAAAAATTCGATAAGAATAAAGACGGCGGCATCAGATTATAGTGTTTCTCAAAATAGTTTCGATTATAAATAGTGCAAAACGCCGTTCCATATTCAGCAATGATATGTGTATATGACAAGTTATAAAAAGTATGGAGAATCAGTAACATGCTAAAATACGCATATAAATATAAAAAATGTATGTAAAATATTTATTTATTTGTTTTACAGTCGTAGCATATGTTAATATAAAATGTATGCATTTAATAAAAGGATAAGGAAATAATTTCAAGACTTGAAATCAAAATAAAATTATTATAATTTACGGTATTTTCTAAACAACCTACAAAATTTGCATTAATATAATTTAATATGTTACTATATCAAAGTCAAGTTAATGCTGTTTCTCGCGATTAAATATTATTTATATTAGATAAAATTTACTTGTATAATAATTAGATGCACGTTTCAAACATACGAATTTGAAGAAAAACTTTTCCAAGCGATGATTGTCAGATGAATATCATAATCAATATCTTTCTTTTATGTTACAACGAAAAATACTAGAAATTCGTAAATTAGTTTAATAAATTCGTAATGCAAAAAATGTTGAAACTAAACATCCTTGCGCAAGTAGTTGAGTAAAAAGCGTTTAATCATTTAATTTCAATTTAAGGATACAATGTCGACGAAGGTGATAAAATTAACGGCAATTAGCGACAATTAGCGGTATCCTATAACGTGTCTCCTATCTTAGACGATCGAAAGAAGAAAGCGTGCAGCTTGCACGCAATGCGGATACGGGCAAGAAAGTTTTACGTAGCTGCGGGACAAACATCGATGGAAATCGAATGATGCGGAACAGGCACCTGCGTGGGTACAGGCAATTACGTATGAATAACTTCGACGAAAAAGTATCCGATGCGATCGCAAGTCTCTGATCTTATCGGCACGATGTCGCACGCATTTGCCGAAGGTCCTAGGCCCGGTATGACGATGCACAATTATCAATAATTGAGAAATTTTTTTCGCAAGTGTAATTCAATATAACGAGCCGGCGCGCTCATTAATTTGATATTACAAGCGCTGTCCCCGAACTCCCGTTATTATATTACCGCACACACAGGACCATTAACCTCTTTTCGCGACATACAATTTATGGTTTTTTCTTAATCGCTCTGCAAATTTTGGAAATGAATGTTCGGGCCAGATGTGTTTTTTTTTAAATGCTGACCCAAATTACTCAATATATATAAATAAGAAAAATATAATATATAAGAGAATATAATATCGCACTAATTATTCACAATAATTAAGTAACAATGATTGATAATAAATGAATAAACTATATATGTATTAGATTAATATGTATTAGATAATGTATTAAATTAGATTAAAGCAATTATACACAATTATTAAGATTATTTACATGCTGGTGTAATAAGACTTGATGTCCATATTTTCTTATTTTATTTTTTAAAGATCGAAAACAAATTCATATTCTACGATTCTGTAAATCAAACCACCTCGTGTAATTAAATCTTTAGACAACTTTCTTCAAAGTTAAATAATTCTTATTTAATAGAAAATAATTTTAATTTTAAATAAATTATTAAATAAAAAATATTAATTTAAGATATTAGTTATAAATAAAATAAAACGTGTACATAGAAAAATTATCATTTAGAAGAGTTTGTAAATAATTATTAACAATATGAACATATGTTGTGATTTTTTTGTTCCATATCACTATATACAGATATAGTCTAATATTAATATCTCATCAAGGATAAAATATCGATTATATATATATATATATATATATATATATATATATTTATTTATTTATATATATATTTAATTACCATAGGGATATATAAGTTTGTACGTTATAAATAAAGCATATGATTTACATTGCTATAATGTTCTTTAAATTACATATTTTTATTTTTATCTTATACCAGTTATTCTCACGCCATATTTTTGATAATTCTAAAGTATCTTATTTTATATACATATTTGATGCTGATATATATATATATATATATATATATATCAAATATATATATATATATATATATATATATATATCAATTCCTTCATTTACAACGTACAAACTATATCCCTATGGTAATTCGAAAAATATAATTCAGGTCTTGACAGAGAGACCTAAAGTCACGAATGCCGGTTTCTCGCGGCATATATCGCGGCATCCTTTCTCTGCTACTTTTGTCTTTTTTTTCTCTTTACCGCTCGTTCTCTCGACTCTCAGGTCGCGTACCATCTCTCAGTCACACATGTGAGAAATGACCTTTAATGGAATCACCATAGCAAGTATCGTGATGATTGAACCTTATAACATTTTGTTGTCGTACAATAGTGTTGCCGATAATTAATTCTCTAATTCTTAATCTGCCAAAAAATTTCATTCCTAAAAAATATCAACAATGAAGTTTATGTAATTAAGAAAATATTAGAAAGTATTATGTAATTTAATAGTTATATGTATAATATTTGATTTTTTCTGCTAATAGTCGATGAAACTATCAATGAATTTTTACATATATAATATAAATTCAAATATTTTATCTATATTATATCATTTTATTTATATATCATATTTTTATTGTTCAAAGTTTTGTGAGTCATGTAAAATTCACTCAATATCAAAAAATCATTTAATCAAATTCAATTGTATTAAAAGGTAAAAGTTCAATATTTTGATACCATGATGATTTTTATTCCGAATCATTTAAATTTAATTTGCATTTTTCTCGGCAATATCTCTTCATTTCTACTTCGAGAAAATAAATCTAAATAAAGAAATATAAATAAATAAATAAATACAAAACAATTTCGAATCATAAAAAATTATATGCTTAGATAATTAAAATAAGGAAACGATCGCAAAATCGAGAGAACGAGAGATTTTTAATTGTAAATGATTCGCAAAGGACGAATCAGAAGATTAATTACACACTTACCTTATCAAACCGTTGTCCTTATGCTTGCCGATGAGAAACGTCAGCACGCCATCGGACATCTGATTAGCCCACGGTGGTTTCACCCAGATGAGATTCTTGAGATGACCAGCGTACACGGCAGGCAAAATCCAATTCTCGATGCTGATCTCGCTAAAAAAGTACAGAAAACATAAATATCTAATAATAAAAATGCTTAAAATTATTTTTAAAAATGTATAAATTAAATAGGATTTAATTATCTTTTTTCTCTTCATATTTTTTTTCACAGAACAGACTGTATTCGTGAATTTAATACAACGGTTCTTACATTTTTACTTTCCCATAAAACACAATTGAAAAGATTTTTTCATGTCTCATACATTATATTAATTACATGATATTTACCTGTTGCACCACTATTATATTTATAGAAACAATCAATCTATTTGCACTATAAATTAACGTCGAACGACACAAGTATAAATTGAAACTGAGATACATTCAGTCATAATGTTTTCAGTGTTACAGTTAAATATATATTCGTATGTTGGTATCATTGAATTTGAATTCATATGAACTTTGAAATTAGGGCTTATCCAGATATATTGGGTCTGTTCGTTTTAGCTGCACTGCTGCACTAGTGCAATAAGTTAGAAAGAGACAAACATACTTTCTTTCACTCTAACTAATTGCACTAATGCAGCAGTGCAGCTAAAACGAACAGACCCATTGATTAATTACATGTTCAAGGTTAGAAAATGTTACATAAGAACGCTTCGTACTAAATGCATAATTGGCTGATTTTTTATGCATAAACATGATATACGTTTATTTCTAGATAGGTCTTTAGGCCATCTTTGATAAATATATCTCAATTTTAATATTGATATACGTTGTATTGTATTCGATTGAGAAATTCAATTTCCTGTTACATGTCTTCGCACATACATATTTTTTACAAAGCTAAATTATACATATATTACACTTGATTATTCCAGATAAAAAGTTAAAATTATTATATACGTACTTGAACAATTGATTCTTATCCCAGACTGTATCGGCCGGCATCTCTTTGGGTATCAACATATCGGGATGCGAATCCAGATGTACGAAGGTGTTGTTTTGGAAAGGCAGGTGCTTTGATCCCAGACACCGATATACGAACGGTAAAACCTGATAATATAAATAAAACACATATAGAAAATAAACGTCCGGAAATTTAAAAACTTTCTTGCGCTAAATTCTCGCGTGCAAATTTGCGGACTCGTTTAGTAGCGTAATGGCGTCAAGCTACTTGAAGTTTGCTTCGATAATTGAGTCTTGATGAGCCAATGAATTTTTATGTATGGAGAAATTCAATTTCCTGTTACATGTCCTCGCGCACATTATTTTTTACAAGTTAAATTATATACTACACTTGATTATTTCAAACAAATAGATAGAATTATATGTACCAAATTCAAAAACTTTAAAAGGTTGTGAATTTCTCTTTTATATCTACTGGTATTTACAATATTTGTTTACGAATAAATGTATAAATAAAAGAACTTGTTTATATAGAAATAAATTAGATTTTTACATAAATCTCATAAAAAACAAAGATTAAATATATTATTTTTATTATTGCAATTATAAAATTTTTCGCATCTTTTGTGATGAATATAAAATTGTACGAAGATTATGTATTCATGAAATTAACATCAATCAATTTTTTAAGATACATACTAGAAATGCAATTTGTTTTGCTATATTAATTTATTATAATTACGTAGATAATTTTTTTGCTTTCTAAGATAGCTTGTATATTACACTTACATGTAATTTACAATTTCATACACACAATACGATCGCGGGTTTGGAGCGCACCCTGCGCCATTATCGTCGTGACGTCACTGCGCATGCGCGACACTCACAGCGGCATCTTGCGATGCATTCCATTCGATTTACAAATGCTACTGCATTATACGCTTCAATAAGGAGCGGGATCCAAGTGGAACCGTTGAAAATTGTGCTACAAATCATTCGAAGTACTTGTAGCGTCGATTGGAATGCAGCTCGGGATACGTAAACAAACGCGAGAACGGCGTGCGATGCGCCGTTCGAATATACCCACCTCGTCATGATCCTCGACCACGTAGATCGGCGTCCTCTTAAAGTACTTGCGAACGAATGACATATCTCGCGATCGTGGGCTACGCAAATTTGACTCGAACAGATTACGACGGGATTGCGATGACGCTAAACGCGAGACGCGCGGATTAAACTATCGATTTTCTTAATTAACGCCGACGCGACGACAACAAACACGAGCACTCGAATCGCGGACACGCGGAAGACTGCTTCGCGCGAAAGCACGTGGTCATCGACTGAAGTTTGCTCTTAGGCGCGCGGCTCAAACGATCATTTCGCGAATAAAGGGACAGGGGCACCGGACAAGGGTTTACTCTAAATTTCTCACGAGACGAGTTTCGTAAGGTTGTTCTCTCTTTTTTTTCTCTCTCTCTCTCTCTCTCGCGTCTAGTCTGATGACCTCCCTTCCTCCTAAGTATGAGGAAACCTGATCCTTTCAACTCACAGCCGGCATGCCGCGAATGAATGTCCTAGAGTATCATTTGACGATTTGACATGGATAAATTTATCCTGGCAGGTCGGAAGATATTTAATTGGATCGCTAATTAATAATTCTAGATACATGTGTTATTCAAGAAATTACAAACTTATTAATATATTTTATTTTTAATTTGTACACAGACACGCATACGTTGCATTTTCATATTTTATTTTTCGAAAGAAATATTTACTTTAAAAAAAAAAATCAGTAAATATTAAAATCTCTCGGAAATATTTGATATCGAGAATATGTAGTTAAAAAATTCTATTGTCCTCATCTTTATCTTTATGAATGTTATTTTCATTTATTTTATATAATTATATACTAATAACTGCTACTAGGAAAGATGAGCATTCTCGAATATCGTGGAATTGCATTCAGCTACTAATACAATCTTTATATATATATATAATACATACATAAAAATGACACTTGTACAAGTTAAAAAAATTAATCGTCTTGTGAATTATTCAATATGCAATTCCAAAAATATATAACACACATGATATTTATATATATGTTAACAAATATCGCTATTGATTATTATAGAAAAATAATGTATGTATTAAATCATTCTTATCACTAGCAGATTGATATATATCCGATTAATAAGACTATACAAGACTCAATCTAATTGCATAATCGTAGGTAGCGTCGTAAATCGGTAGAAGAAAAGATTACTTACAACACATAGTTTATGTTTCACATTATAAGTATTAAGTATTAGCGATGCATGATCTTTTAATTGATTCATATATTATTCTTTGCTGCCGCAACTTGATCATAAACACATCCATGAGAAGAGATAATCTGAAAAATGCACCTATAGTGTAGATTGTATAAATCTTCCTTTCCTTTAATAATTCACTTAATTCTCCCTATCATATACATATTTTACTTATATTTTACTTACATATTTTAATTAGTTCAATTCTGCGCGGGATTATTGATCATATGAAACCCAGTTCTCGAACATTTCTGACTTATAAATCTGTAAATGCAACTGATCTGTTTGCATTCGCAATGAAGATAGAAAGGTCTCAATATCACTTTCATCAGAATATACATTGCTTATTAAATTATCATCTAGTCTATGAATATTCGAGTTTTTAGGATAATTATTGGCCTCCTGTCTCCGATACTTTGATACATTAGACTGTATTGGTTTCCTCTCTTGTGTGCGAGAAGGGTGAAAATCAGCAGATATATGTTCACTCTTTTGATAAAGGTGATCAATTTGATTTGATAAACAGGTTTCCTTTTTTGTATTTAGATTACAGTTTAAATTAGGATATGAGATTTGTGGAGAAAAACGTTGCATAGTTGGTTTTAACAAATGTTGAGAAGATTTTCTTATGTCCATAGTGGCATTTGAAGTTGAATATTTTGTAAAAGCAACTGAATTTCCTACATTATTCTTTGGATCATGTTCATAAAATTTTATATGTTTACTAGGTTTGCTATATGAGTTGTTTATACTGTCATAATAGACGCCATTTGTTTGTATAGGTATATTTTGAAAGTTTTTAACTTCTTTGCCATGTGCAGTGTTCATGATTTTTTGATTACTATTGGATGCCATTTCTTGTTGTTTATTGAATATAATTTTATTAGTGCTTGAATATAAATCTTCATTGAATGATACAAATGATGATGACTTGCTTGCAGTACTGCATATTTCACTTTGATTATCTTCTTCATTCATTGATTTATTTAGTTGAAACAACAGTTCCTTACTATTTTTTGAATCTTCTTTATTTGTAATTTCTTCATTTTTATTGAAAATTGTATTAGTAATATTACGTTTCTTATCTTGTATTTCATGTTTATTTTGATTGACAGTTATAACTTCATTAGAATAAGCTTCTTGCATCTTCTTTGAACTTCTTTTTGAATTATTCTTCTTTATTATATTTATTTCTGAAGATTCTGTTTCAGTATTCTCCTGAGGTTGAATTGTGTTATTAGTCTCATTTTCTAAAGAAACTGACTTCTGAGGCACTTGCAGACACTCTGTCAATTCACCATTTTGTTCTGAAGAAATCTGTTTTTCAAGCACTTGTACATGTTCTGTTAATTTATCATTTTTTAAATCTTTTTTTGTTGCTTCAATAAGAAATGCTTTCATCTCCGAAAATGGTAAATTTTGTTCTTTGATTTTTGTAATCAAATCGTATTTTTCAGTGTTACTCAAAAATGCTATATAATCTATTATTTCTAATAATTTTTTATTGGGATTGCAATATGTACTAAAATACTGTAATGCCTTACGATATTCTTCAATTTCAGAACTTGACATCATTAAATTTGGCATATGTTCATAAATATTTATAGGATAAGGAAAATACGCGTTAAATTCAGTTGTAACTGTACAAAAACGACTTTTAAAGTCTTCTATTTCTTTATACATATCTATCAAATTATTATTTGAATTAGATCCCGAATAAATATAAGTATCTTGTACTTCTTCATCATTACGAAGTTCCGGAAAAACACATAAGAAAGCCCGTTTTTGTATATTAAGAAAAGTTTTTAAAGCAGAAAAATGTTCTTCATATATTAGCTTATGGACAGAATCCGTCATATTTTTGTATGTATAATTTAATAAATTAATTTCGAGATCAAGTAATTCTTTCCAATTGGAAGCTGTTTTCAAAAATGATACTTCATTATTTATACAATTGTCTTTGTCATTAATTTCTTCAGCACATATTAATAAGTAATCATTTAATTTTTTCCATATTTCATTATCTTCACTATTATCAAATTCACTTGATGTACGATCGTCATCGTACGATTGTGAATTGTGCATTAAAGTAGAATCTTTCATAGAGCATGTATCCTGATAAACATTTGTAGAAGTTTCTTTATTATCATCCATTTTCATTATTATCAATTTCTTATCATTTTCTGTTTCATTTTTTTCTTGTTCATTATTTGGTAGAGCCTTCATATATTGGATGATATTTTCAATATCAATACTTCCTTGTGTATTTTTATAATCCTTTATATTTGATAAATCTACTTCAAACACGACATCTTCATTTAGTTTTTCCATGAAGGAAGGATTATCTGAATCAAGAGTTATTTTAAATTTATGTATGTTATCTGATCCAGCTGAGACTACAGATTCATAAGAGTCTGATAAATTTTGATCTTCGTGATCAGTTTTCTCTTCAGGAATTTTAACTCCATTAGATTTTGTAGTTGACTCTTCATGTTTTTTAGATTGTTGAAGATTGATTTTTTCTTGAACATGATATTGTAATAATGAACTAATTTTTATTTTCTCATTTAAATTCATTTTTTTTGGCTCTATAGGTAAATTATTAGATACAGTATCATGTTTTATGTTTTTTTGTGAAATATGGGTATTAGATTTTTCATGTAATTTTATTGTAATAGGATTTGCAATATTATTCTCTGATGATGGTATATCATTGAGTGTTATGTCACACTTCAATGGGATATTTTCACATTTGTCATATTTTGCAATAGCAGTATTTACAATATTACTTTCTGATGATAATTTATTATTGACTACTGTACCCATGGATGAGATGCTTTCACAATTTTCATGTTTCAGACTAGAAATATTTATAGTGTCACTTTCTGTTGATGATGTATCATTGATTGCTGAAAATAATGATATAGGCGTACCATGTTCAAATTTTAGAAATGTTTGATCAGTATTTATGTTGCTCGTTTCATTGTCAGACTTTGAGTAAACTTTTTCAAATACTGTAATATCGTCGGCCCAAACATCTTCTGCATAATTAGAATTGAGTTTGAACAAATAAAAGTTTGGTCCACCAACTGAAGTTAATAATTTTTTAAATGATGGAAGTTCACTTTCAGAAATAATGGTGATAGAAATTCCACGAGATCCATAGCGACCAGCTCTTCCAATTCTATGTAAATATGTCGCCGGATTTGTAGATACATCAAAATTTATAACCATATTAATATTTTCTACATCTATACCCCTTGCAGTTAGATCTGTAGATACTACAATTCTACATTCACAATTTCTTAACTTTTCAATTGTCTCCAATCTATTAGTCATGTCTTGACTTCCAGTAATATATAAAGATGAGAAGCCCATAGAATTAATTGTATTGCTTACTGATTGAGCCCTACAAAAATAGTACAAAGAACAATAAATAATTATCATCTATTAAATATTAAAAAGTTAAATAATTATTAAAACAAATTACTTTATGCATACCTTGATTGATAATTCATAAAAACTAGACTTTGTTTAAATGGAATCTTTGTAAGAATTTTCACTAATTCATTAACTTTTATTTTTACCTAAAAATATAACAGATAGTGTATAGGAAATTCATTTGTCATTAAAATAAAAATTAGTTGTTTAAATTTTATAATAAATCAAAAACCTGCTTCATAGTATTGGGATGTGCAGGAATCACAGTCACAAATTGTTTGACTCCAATCAAAATTGGTGCATGAAGGTCTGGCGATGTTATTATTGGAGAAAACATGTATGTTTGTAGAAAAGTTTCTAAATCTTTAGGATAAGTAGCACTCGAGGCTATAACTTGCTTACTGCGTGGTAGTTTAGAAAATATGTAACTACAGAAAAAAATTAATATTATTGTACCTTAAATTACTAATAATAAATTTAGATTGTATTGATATAAATTAAAACCCAACATGCACCTAAATGTAAAAACAATCACTTTAATTAAAGAAACATTTAACATATATATTCCACCAAATAGTATAAATAGTGTACTAATGATAGTTTATACCAAATATTATATATATATATATATATATATATATATATATATATATATATAACAAATGATATATAATATTTGGTCTTAATTTGAATACGATAATCCTTGATATGTATAAATGCACAAACTTAGTACTTGGCACAAGTTTATAAATTTAAATTTTATACTAACTTGATATCTGTTTGAAAATTGAACTCCATTAATTTGTCTACTTCATCAAGAACAAATAATTTCATTGTTGAAACTGTAAGAAATTTCTTTTCAATTAAGTGCTTAATTCTGCCAGGAGCACCAACAGCTATATGGCATTGTAGCTTTTTCTTATCTTCTTCTATCGATATTCCCCCCACAAAATACTCAATCTTTAATCCTAAAACAAAATATATAAATATATAATATATAATTGACCAAGATAGAAATAAATTTCTCTAAAAAAAAATTAAGCACCAATTTCAGTAGAGATACCTTTTATTCTTGAACCTATTGTTTGAAGAACTTGAGATATTTGAATAGAAATCTCTCTAGTAGGTGTTATTATTAAAACTTGTGGAGATAATATTTCAATATTTAATACTTCAAGAGCTATTATGCCAAATACTATAGTTTTTCCAGTTCCTGATTTTGCATGTATTATCAGATCTGTAAATCAATGCAGTATACATTAATATATAAGTATCAGTCTTTATATTATTAAATACACACACACGCGTGTGTGTATATATATATATTATAAGTACCGAATCCACAACGGCCTAATGGAATGGCTTTTAACTGAATGGGAGATGGTCGTTGAAATCCAGCAACTGTTAATCCATCCAAAATATTTTCTGGAAGACCCATTTGAAGAAACATAACATCTTCTTGTATCTTTACATCTTTGGTTCGTGGTACCTTACTTAAATCATGTGCAACATACTGAGCCATTTTTTCCAATTAAATATGTAAATCTGCATGAACAAAAATTCATCTATTAAAAGTAAAATTCATATATTAAAAGTATATAATTGTATCAAACGTAAACAAATAATTGAAATATGAGCAAGAACATCTTTTTTTACAAACTTGGTTATCCTACTATATAAGTTTAATAATTAAATTCTATAAAGTATTAATAAATTCTCAATAAGTTGTGTCACTTTTACTAGAAATTCACTTAGAAAGAACATTAATAATGCACTAAAAACAAAGACATAATGGGAATCTCATTTTTATCAAATAAATAAATAAGAATGAAATGATTCGTTGTATTATACGTTATACTGTGTCAATTGTGTTTCTTATTGAAAAACGCGCAATATCAACGATATTTAATATTATAACTAATATTGTAATAACTGTAATATATTCAAAGAGAATATGCAGGCAATTAATAATACAAACTTGATTTGTTTGAATTTCTTTTTTGTATGCTTGTAACTCTCTTTGTAAAGTAGAAGCCAACCAAAACTCGCGCTGGTAGTAAGCAGTATGTAAGCAAACTGTAATTTAGGGTGTGTTCGGAAAAAGTACTCGTGTGCACAGTGATCGCATTCAACGGACTCAACAGTTGGGCAACATTACTAGATTTTCCGATGTAATTCGATGTCGATTGGTCGGTTCTGAAAGTAGAGACCAATCATGTTCGATTGTTACTTAGCGGTTGAGTCCATTGAATGCGGCCAATGAACATGCTCCGTCCTTGTTCGTCTTTCCATAAATAATGGGTCTTTTTTTAAAAAAAATAAAAGTCCTTTTTTTGGCAAGAAACACAAATGAAATAGAGTAAAGTCGTATTCATACCTTGGCAAAAAAGTTAGAAGTCAATTAGAACTCGCGTTGGTAGTCACAATTTCTACTTTTTGCTCGTCTCACTGCTTATATATTTAGTGCCTTAAGGTGCGGCCTCATTGACGCTAAAAAGTAGCGTCAACCATTGGTTGAACAAAGAGGTAAGTATACTTACCTCTTTGTTCAACCAATGGTTGACGCTACTTTTTAGCGTCAATAAGGCCGCACCTTTAAGGTGCAATTTCATTGACGCTAGAAACCAGCGGCAAATTAAAATCACTAGACTTTCTCTAGATATGGCGTCAATAAAATAAAGTTCAAACAGTTTCAACTTTTTCAGTGTGTAAAGCGGCCTTTTCATTGACGCTACTTTTTAGCGTCAATGAAATTGCACCTAACAGTTGGCAGCCCTACGAGATAAGCTGTGCAGCACTGCGCGTATATAAAATAAATTTGAAATCGCTTCTAGCCTAACCATCTTCACGCGATCGACTTTATTTGAATTGCACGGCATCGCATCGAATTATGATGCGGCGCCGATTTGTTCGAACGTAATTCGAGACATCGCGATGCTGTATAAGCGTCGAATGAGCACGAATTGTCACGCAAATATGATAAATCATCTACTCACCGTTCACCGGCTGTTCCACAGGCCGCTCCACTCGCTCGCCTCGGGACGTCCCATTCCGATCTTGATGCGCACGATATCATCAACGCGAACGCGCGACACTTTATTCGGCACTCCCGATATTCGCTCGCATCCGATAATCATCATCAAGGGCGCAAATAACGCGACGCGACTTCGCTCCATCTTCGCGATCGCGCTATCACTGAACTGTGAAAAATAGCTGTCGCGCACTTTCACCGACATATTATGAAAGTCGCGCGATCATCCTTGAACACTTTCGACGCTCTTTCACTCGCGATATTCGTTTAAAAACGGTTAAAAGACGCGAAAAATGCGGACGTACGACGATCCGTGTAACTGCGTGTGACTCCGATTCGCGTATGACGTCGCAGTGACGTCACGCGCCAACATGGCGGCCGAACCAGTGCGCACTGGTTCGGCCGCCATGTTGGCGCGTGACTGCTACGTCATACGCGTCATAGTACGTCATACGCGTCATACGTGACTTGGAGTCATACGCAGTTACACGGATCGTCGTACGTCCGCATTTTTCGTGTCTTTTAACCGTTTTTAAACGAATATCGCGAGTGAACGAGCGTCGAAAGTGTCGAAGGATGATCGCGCGACTTTTATAGTGTGTCGATGGAAACGCGCGACAGCGATTTTTGACGACATTCAGTGATGGCGTCATCGCGAAGATGGAGCGAAGTTGCGTCGCATTATTTACGCCCTTGATGATGATTATCGGATGCGAGCGAATATCGGGAGTGCCGAATAAAGTGTCGCGCGTTCGCGTTGATGATATCGTGTGCATCAAGATCGGAATGGGACGTCCCGAGGCGAACGAGTGGAGCAGCCTGTGGAACAGCCGGTGAACGGTGAGTAGATGTGATTTATCATATTTGCGTGACAATTTGTGCTCATTCGATGCTTATACAGCATCGCGATGTCCCAAATTACGTTCGAACAAATCGGCGCCGCATCATAAATTCGATGCGGTGTCGTGCAATTCAAATAAAGTCGATCGCGTGAAGATGGTTAGCTAGAAGCGATTTCAAATTTATTTTATATACGCGCAGTTATATGCTGCACAGCCTATCTCGTAGGGCTGCCAACTGTTAAGGTGCAATTTCATTGACGCTAAAAAGTAGCGTCAATGAAAAGGCCGCTTTACACACTGAAAAAGTTGAAACTGTTTGAACTTTATTTTGGGTGCTTTCCAGCAAGCAACACAGGCGACACTGTGTCGCTACAGTGTCGACACAGGTGCTTTCCAACTACGACACAAGTCGACACAATCGTACACAGCAAAAATGCTGTGTTCGCCTGTGTCGTCGTTTTGTTGCACCCCAGTGAGTGCCAACATAACATTTCATATTTGGTATCATTAATTTTTTTAAGAATGGTATTGCGTGATATTGCGTCCAAAAGACATCAAAAGACGACTTAAAGACATCTAGACGTCTTTAAGACGACATAATGTTGTGTGGGAACGTTCTGAAAATTTAGACCTAGTGACAACTATTAAAAGTGACTGCCCTGCACTCTAGTGGCAAAATAAAAAAGCTAAAAAGCGTTCCAACTACAAGTCGACACTGTGTAACACTGTGTCACACAGTGTATCATTGTGTTACCATAGCTGGAAAGCACCCTTTATTGACGCCAAATCTAGAGAAAGTCTAGTGATTTTAATTTGCCGCTGGTTTCTAGCGTCAATGAAATTGCACCTTTATTATTACCAGCGCGAGTCTTTTCTATTTGGCTTTCTGCTTTACTGCCAAGGTGTGAATGCGCCCTAAATGCGTTCTTAAAATCACTTTTTCTGTTAGTTTTCTGATCAATACATCTTTGAAATGTTGGATGTGTTATCCCTTTTCTCAAACAACGTAAATAATATTATTGACATAAAATTTTGCAGAATTTTGTCAATAAAATTGTGGTGATAAAAATAACGCAAAAATGGGACGCCGTTCGATTAATACCACAAAGAGTGGGAAATATATGAATCCCACTGATCAAGCACGTTAGTATTTTAAAATATAACCAATTATCTCTATTTTTAAAAAACATTCCTCTCTCTTTAATAATTAAGAAAAATGTATAATGTGAAAATATTTAACTATCACTTTTATTACAGGAAAGGAAGCGCGTAAGAAGGAATTAAAAAAGAATAAAAAGCAACGACAATTAGTAAGAGCAGCTGTTTTAAAAGGCAAAGATCCAGCGCAGATTATTGAAGAAATGGAGAAGATTGATCAAATGGGTTAGTGAAAAATTATATTTTGTATAGATTATACTTTAATTTTAGTACAGATTATACTTTAATTGTATAATTGTGTAAATGTACAGATTATACTTTAATTTTAGAACAGTATTATATACATAATGTAATTTTTGTTCTAGAATACAATGTAATGCAACCACCTCCTTTGAATGAAAAAGTTTTGAAGGATAAACGAAAAAAACTTAAGGAGACTTTAGACCGTGTCTTAAAAATGTATGTAAGTATGTAAATAGCATGATTATAAATTTTCCTCATTGGTAAGCTTATGGTAAAAATTGACTATTTGATTTGTCAATTGCAATATAATTAATATATTGCTTTTCAGGCAAAAGATGATCAAGAAAAATGGTCAGAATTAAAGGAACAATTGATACAATATGAACGTAGAAGGATAGACTTAGTTTCTTATTTTGAAGCTGTACGACATGCGCAACAAGTACAAGTTGATGAAATTCCATTGCCATCGGCTGCTAATGATATATCCAGGATGTATCCAGGTAATGTTACTCTAAAAGATAATTATAAAACTAAAACAAACTTTTTTATAATACAATTTTTAAATTTCTTTTTGATATAACTAATAAAAATATTTCCATAGGATCTTTGACATCGCAGATCCCATTACCAGATATGCCACAACCACCTGCACATATGTATCCACCTCATCCTCATTATATATCACAGCATCATCCTCTAATAAATATCCCGATACCACCAAGCATCTTAAAAAAGACTAGTGCATATGCTACTTCTTCATCTGTACCAACATTGGCACCTAATAAGGAGCCACCTGGTGTACCACCATTTCCACCTCCTGAGCTATCAAGTGATGATGAAGACACAGTTGAACATGTATTTAAATTTAATATATAACTTACAATACTAAACTTAATTATAAGATGTAAGTAATATTAATATTAATATTTTTGCAATTGACAGGTTAAAGATCCACCAGCAAAATCAAGAACGATACGATTTGCTGATGACAAAGAGGACAATAAACAAGAGTCAGAAAATAAGGAAAAAGATGTGGAGAAAGAGAAGGAAAAAGACAGAGACATGGCAAAAGTCAAACCAACTACGTTGCAGCAGAAAATGTTAGCTATGGCTGGTCAAGATATTGATCAGTTTATGCGAGAGATGGAAGTTGTTCATAAAAAGAGGGAGACTGAGCGTGCTCAAGATCTTAATGCACGATTATCGCTATTGGAAGCAGAAAACGAACCTAATGCTAAATCTAATAATAACAAGTCCAATAATAAGGGAGATGACGAAGAGTTGGAACCGCCTGGGGCATCGGATCATCTCTCCGGCCATGGGCAACACGCGTCTCATCCTCATACACAGCATGCGCAGCAACATGTGATGCCGCCAATGGGTATACCACCTCCACCCTTACTTTATCGGCCACCTCCACCGCCATTACATCTCAGAATGCCACCGCCGCCACCGCCTCGTATCGGACTTCGATTACCACCTGGTTAACATTTTTTATTTTATATATCTTTTTTTTGAAATTTATATATTTAATATTCAATATAAATTTAATTTCATAGATTTAATGTAAACCACATCATTTATCAATGAATATATTCATTCATCAATGAATATATTTATATGCAGAAGAGATTATATAATATGAATAATTGTTTTACAGGTCCTCCACCTGGAATGCCAAGAATATTGAGACCCGGACCTCCTAGCATTCCCAGAATGCCACCACCTCAAATGCAAATGTCAAATATGTCAAATATGTCGAATATTACAAATCCTCAAATGCAAACGCAATCTGGAACGACTGCACAGCCTAAGACGCCCAACGTTCTTTCTGCTGCACCACAATTAATCAATAGAAAAGACAAAGATGGAAAAAGTAGTACTACTATCGAGGCAAAACCACAAATTAGGAATCTGGCTGCTGATGTTACAAGATTCTTACCAACATCCCTGCGGGTGAAGAGAGATGATAAGAAAAAATCCAGCAGTATTTCTAGAATTACAGAAAGATTACCGGAAACACAACCACTTAGAACAACACAACCTAAGACAAAAGATGATGCATATATGCAGTTTATGCAAGAAATGGAAGGATTACTCTGAAAATTGATAGAAAATATATAATTAATTCAATTTTATTCAATTGGAGTAATCAATATAAACATTTGTATAATATACAAGCATCATTAAAAACATATGATTTTTGTTATTACTTAATATCAGCTGTGAATATTTTTTAATTTATGGACGAAGAAATAAAACATTCACATAAATTGAAAATCTTGAAGAAATAATATTAATCAGCAGATTGTATTAATAAGTAATCATGACAAATATAATAGAGTAATAAATTTATAAATATATTATAATATAAATATATAATAAATTTTTTAAACTAATTTTCCCGAATTTTTTGAATTTATTTTTAAATAATTTTATATTTAATAAAAATGTAAGAAAGAATATTTAGGATTATACAATCTAACTTGCAAATAAATATATGTTAACAACTTCTTTACAGAAAGCTTTGGTCTTGTCGATTTAAATTATTATTTTTTTTAACTCATTCAATTGATATTGAAGAAAGAATTCTAAATGCAACAAAGAAAAATGTTCTATTTTACATAAATTGAAAAATAAATTTATAATAGAAATATGTAAATTTAAGTAAAATATTTTTAATGTTATATTTTTTTAATATTAAATTAGCATTTTATATTTATAAATATTTAATTAAATTATATACATATTTACACGAATTTGTAAAATATAAATCATCGCTTTTATTCTGCCATTTGTCTTTCTATATAATATTATAATATTTTATAATATATCTTAATTATATAACAATTTTCATTTTGCAATTTGATTATAAGAAATGTAACTTTGTAACTTTGAATTATTCTTTGCAGTTCCCAAAATCCTTTGAAATATCGTTGAATATACCGCGCATCAGTCAAAAGTAACATGGCGATTTTGCTATTTCCGATATTCAACGAAGAACGTCATTTCCTTTTTCTTCACGCCAAGAGCAAGAGCAAGTATAGCGGAAATCGGAAATATCGAGCAATATCGAATTACCGAAAAACATCCTTATGCAAGAACAGTGATAAATTCGATTAATTAAGTGTGTTCATTCGCACATCCTCTTTGACAGATTTTTTTTTCACGGAAGGAACCGTGTGAGAAATCAAACGCTCTTACGCGTTTGTTGGATCGTAGTTTTAACCGAAGACGAAGACTCCAAATCAGAGTCTCAACATGTATACACGAAGCAGACAAAATCAGGGCTACGGCAATGGTAAGATTATATATATGAATATATATTTATTATATATATGTGTGTGTGTGTGGTGTGTGGTGTGTGGTGTGTGTTATACATACATATATACAAAAATCTCGGTTTGGCTTGTACATCCTATCATCAATATAACATAAGCAAAATATAATGAATGGAAAATAATTTCTCGTAAAAAAAAAATCAATAACACATACACCGGTTAATGAAGAATGGCAGTTTTCTGCAAATACCGCGTCATTCATTCTCTCTCCCTCCCCCTCTTTCTCTCTCCCTCCCCTTCTTTCTCTCTCCCTCTCCCCCCTCCACCTTCATCCCTCTATTCATCATATTGCCCAAGCATGTTGCATGACAGCGCTATTTATAAGCATAATATGTGATATTTGAACTTCTCAACATATCCATTAGTGTTGTGATATTGAAAGTAAGAAACTTGAAAATATGAAATTCATTCATTCAATTTCTTTAGCTTCTGAGAGTATCATGTATTGAAACACTGAGTTGAGCGAGAGTTTCATAAATATTCCTGATCAAGATTATATTTAATTGATTTTAATAAGATTTTTTCTTTTTTTGTTAGAGGACTGAGTAAATTTCAAGATTAAGTTTGTTGCGCGCAAAATATTATTCACATGTTATATTTTCTTATAAAGTATTAATAAATATAATTCTGTATTACAGCGCGGAATCCAAATAATCCCCAAATTCAAGGATCCTATACAATGCCTGTAAGTTTTCTCTTTCTTATATATAGTATCTTATATATATATAGTTATATATCCATATTTTATATTTATAATAATATCTATTGTTTTATCTATTATATTAATGATATATTAATATACATTATCATACACAGATAAGTAAAGGTAGACAAAACAGTTATGCAAGGTGCAGTAAAGGTATTATTAAATATATTAAAGGTATTATTAGTATTGAAACATGTACATACATATATAATAATTAAGATTATTGAATGCAATAATTTTAATTTATAAAAGTTTTATATGAAAATACAGTTACGCACATTGCTCTTGAACAAAGTAGGAATAGTTGCATAGATATTATTCTATTAAGATAATGATTATTTTTCCTTCAAGAGGTAATATAGTCTTTTTGATTATATTTAAATAAGACTATATAAATTTTTTATCTTTTAGGAAAGAGATATAAAAAAGATATAGATTAAGAGCATTATTATAATTAATTCTTATATGTGGCATATTTATATAATATGCTTAATTTATCTCAAGAATTTCCCTAATTTTTCCTATTAACTATGATATAATACAATTGTGTGTGTGTGTGTGTGTGTGTATGTATGAAATTGTGTGTATGTGTATGAAATTTATGACAATATGTATACATTAAAATTCAAGTAAATTATTAAAACATCTTTACATCTTTTTTATGTAAAGAAAAGGATGTTACCATAAAATATATTAAAAAGCAATTAAAATAATAATGCTCTCCTTAAAAAACAGATGATTTATATTTAAAGATTAGATAAATACTCAATTTTTTACAAATTTTATTTTAAAGAAAACCCTATATTTATCATTAATCTCGAAAATATATTAACCCTTAAAGGTCATTTTGATCTGTCAATATTTTAATAACAGACTCTCTCAATCTCAATAAAAACAAATGTTCATACTTTTTAACTATTATACACAATTATTTTCATAAATATTAAGGAACATGTAAAAATTTTTGTAGATTTTTTTCGACAATTAAAATTGCAACAAGAATTGTAATCAAAAACAGCAAAAAAGTGTATGACCTATAAGGATTAAGGTTGACAAAAAATAAAAGTTAATTATACTTATAAAAGTTAAGAAACAAAGCAATTATTAATTTAAAAATATTTGATTTATATTATATGATTGATCTAAAAATTGAAAAATAAATACACACGTATACATACACACCTATACATATACAAATACATATACAAATGCAAAAGATTTAATAACTCCAATATATTTTATTTTTTAAGGAATTAAAAATATCGATATAAACTTTTCTTAAAATTTAGATTAATAAAATCTTCAAAAATATATAAGAAGTTTAATTACTATTTCATTAAAAATTTTGTAATTGCTCCGGCTATAATATATAATTATAACAGCTTTAATATTTATTTTATATCTACATAATTTCTTAGAAAATGGCATATAATGGAGTTAATAAAACTTATTGCATACACACACAAATAATAATGTAATTTTTACATCTGTATTTCTTATTGTCTAAAAACAAAGAATTCTACATTATCTAATCTTCTACATAAATAAGTACAAAACAATTCAATATAAATTTATCAAATTTGAATTATCAGTTTGAAATTTTGTATTTAAATAATATTAATTTATTTATATAATTTAATTGATATTTATTATATATAAAATTGTTTTCTTTCTTAACTTTTGTCAACATAATATTTATTATTATTTTTAAAATATATATGCTTCTAGAAAGATATAACTTTTATATTACAATAATCTAATCACAAATCTATTTGCTCTAATTATATGAAAATTGATATTAATATAAATTTCAATGCTATTAAGAAATGATTAAATGAAATTAAATTTTAAATCTTATTAATTTAGACACATAAATCTTGTGTTTAAATTAGTATTGGTATTAGTGTTAGTGTTATCATGTGTTACAATTAATATAATGTGCATTTTTAAATGATGATTTAAAATATTGATAATACATGAGATATTAAGCATTGTAATAATGTTAATTATATAAATATGCTAGTTTTCATAATCCAAATATGAATTCCATTTGCTGTCAGCAAGATTATTTCACTTGCACATACTAATTAGTGGTCCCTACTTCCCCCTCCCCTGCAACGCAGGTACTAGTAGCTATACAACAATACCGAGGAGGTGCATTCGACCAGGGACTAGGTCGTCAGTTACCCACATAGCATACCCTACCGTAGGCCGTTTTCTTGGTAGTTCGTGCTGAACTCGTGTCTAAGCAAATTTTACTATTGTAAAAATGTTATATATCTGCATGATATCTCAATCTCGATTTCTGGACTTTTTACTTAAACCGAATAAGAAATTAAATTTTATTATTTTCATATTTATATTAATTGATAATATAACTTTACTACTTAATAATATTAACGATTTTATTAATGATAATCTATTTTCACTATTTTCAAGTGTATTTTAATTTGCATATACATATAAAATAGAAAAACATTATTTGCATCATTATGCTTTTTTCTATAAGAGAGCTTCTATCGTATTAAATATTATTTATCAATATATAATACATTTTTAATTCAACAAAAACTTAGCTCAGTCATGAGTAAAGAGACGTTGGCCACAGTAAAGGTAACATGGTTGGTATGAGCTATAGGGGTAGCGTTTAATTGTTCTAGCATACGATGCTAGACCTTGGTGGGGTAGCACAACCGTAGAGGTTCCTTGTGTAGCGGCGACCCACCCTATGTTTTACAGTATAATACACAAGGAAGTTACCAAGCATCGCAATCTACGTCCAATCAACAAAGCAATTACAAACAAGGCAACATACAAAACTCACAAGGCTTCAAATCTCAGCCGCAGTCGCAGCAGCAGCAGCAGCAGCAGCAGCAGCCGCCGCCGCCGCCGTCGCAACAACAACCACAACCACAACCAACGCAAATGCCAGCAGCCACAGCAACACGGCCTTTATCAACTATAGCACCTACCCAACAATTAAAATCGCAAATTCAACAAGGACAGCAGCAAATGTTACAACAGCAGCATCAACAGTCATTGCCGCAGCAACAAATGCAACAACAATCCCAACAACATATACAACAAATGCAACAACAATTACAGCAGCAGCAGCAGACACCAAATCCGCCTCCACTACAGCAACGATTAAAGCCAATTTTAAAGCAAAGCACAGCAAATGTGCAGCCAGCTACAACTGCTGCACAAATAATGCCCGTAACTTCTCAACCTTGTGTGCCTCCTGTACATACTCCGACTTCTACTAATAACAATTCTGATGTTAATGATGATAATATGAAGACAGAAGATACAGATGTTGAAATGCAAGATGCTCAACCAAGATGGCGAAGAAAGATACCTGGATGTAAATACCTTCAAATTAATTATAAATTAGATACATAATTTTATATATATTTATCTCTAAAATTGCAATTTGAATATGTAGTTTATATTTATAATGTAAAAACAGGTATAATTTTGTCAAAATATTTGAGATTTTTAAACAAATTTTTAATTATAATTTTTCTGATGATTTTATAAATACTTGCATGAAAAAATCTGCTAAAACTTAAGAGTATAAATAAGTAAAAAATTTAGGATTTTAATGGTATATTTATTGTTTATATTATAATATAAAAGCAATTTTCTTTTTCCTTATGATGACATTTCACTGCGCAAATTTGAAGATTCAGGAATGTTGAATTCTCTGGCACTGTACCATTGATCATTGATTTTCCTGTAGTCAATGTGAATTTCTATACTGACATACATATAATAAGCCTTCATTAGTCGTATTATTATATTTACATAACTAATATAACTATTTTTGTAGTTAAGGTAAATAAAAAATTGAAACGTCTTCGTATGAACCAGCGTCTAAGGAAAACTTTGCAGCCTAAAAATGCAATCATGGTTTTGAATGAGATGAAAGCCGGAGTTCAATTTACTTTCCCTGAAACCCAAGGACCCATGACAAACTCACTTTATCTTGTTCATGCTGAGGTAATACTAGGAATAATTTTTGCGCATTATGTTATTGTTTTATCACTTTAATTAAAATTAATTAAAATTAATTAAATTCAATTAAAATTCTATTAAATTTTTTTATAATGAATATTATTTTATGTTTAATATATAATGCTGATATGGATATAAAAACTTTTCTCTTTCAAATGTGTCATTAATTTATATCATTACAGCTTGATGGTAAAACTTATGTTGGACAAGGGTTATCTAAACCACTTGCTCGTCAAAATGCAGCCGAGAATGCATTAAAAGCTTTATTACTTGAAAAGATGACAGCAGCATCTATGAAAGCACGTATAGATGCTGAATCAGACGGACAAGCTAATTCATCTATAGAGGGACTAAAAGAAGAAATTAATGAGGATAACACTATTATGGACACTAATACTGAAGATGAAATTCCCTGGAGTTCACTGGCCAGTTTCGCGCTTTATAAACTTTTCCTTGAATGGCATAATCAAGGAACGTCAGTCCCAGTTCCACGACCTGGTTTGCCAGCGACAAAGGGAGCCAAAAAAGATAATCCTAATGCACCTAAAACTCCCGTTCAAAAGGAACTTCCACCTAATCCTGTGAATATACACCCAGTTATGTTACTGAATCAGATGAAGCCTGGACTAACATATGTAGAACTCAGCCGTGTCGGTAATCCACCAAATACAATGTTTACTCTGGCTGTTGAAATTGATGGAGTTGAATATTCAGGGACAGGTATATATAAGCTTTATGAAACAATTATTATAAAATGTTTTCATTATTATTAATATATAAATAAAAATTTTTGTTTTACAGCTAAAAATAAAAAAGATGCTAAAAAGGCAGCAGCTAAAGCAGCATTGTTAGCATTGTACGACTTAACTTATCCTGAAGATGCGGCAAAACAGGAAAATATGGTAGTTGGTTAAGATGTAAAATTTCATTTAATATAATTTTTCCAAATAAAATTTTTTTTCAAACAGCATAAAATATTAATTATATAATTAAACTATAATTAAAATATTAGAAATATAATTTCTATTAACAAAGCATAGATAATTACATTTATAATGTCTATAATGCACATGTTCATTTTATTTTTTCACATTAACAATCTTGTATTTTTAGTATATTTTTTGTCAAATTTACTTTTATATCATATACATTATATAATTTTTATTGTATGTCAAAATGTAGATATAGATATTAATTGACTAAATCACGCAATTCAAATGATATGATTATTCCTAACATTCTATAAAGTTATTTTCTCTACATGATAGTTTTTTTTTACAAGAATAGAGTTTATACCTAAAAATTATATTAATAGATATATGTGATTTATAATTAATTATACAATATTCTATATAAATTATAATGATATAAATCAAATGATATTCAATAATTAATTATCAAGATATATACACATTATTTGTATGATGCTTAATACATCATATTAATGAGAAAAATAATATCATTAAAAGATAAAGACATTACAAATTTAATTATAGGAAGAATCAGACATGAACGATAATGCGTCATTTTAAAAGAAAATTAATTTTTCATTGAAATTGATTAGTTGTGCAAAAAACACCAATTTCTTTTGACACCAAATACATGACTAATTTCAATTTTTATATGGTTTTAGAGAGGAGTTAGGCGATTTACTTACAATAAATTATTATTTAAATTATATATATATATATATATATATATATATATATATATATACATATTTTCAATTAAAAATTAATCAATGTCCTTAAAAAATTAACTTTCTTTAAACTGATGACATTATCATTCATGTATTAGCCAAATAAATTTAAGTTTATGTTTCACACATTGAATGCCTTAATTTCTTAATTATAAAGACATTAAATCGTTCAGTTATCATTTTTATCACTTTTTTCTATCATTAACTGCAAGTGATATGGTCTATTTGAATTGCATAACTTATTTTATACATTAATTATATATATATAATATTAAATATACAATGTAATATATCCATATATTGTGGCTTTATAATTGAGAATTTAGTGAGCAAATCTGTTTAACTCACTTTTGGAATTTAATTATATTCAAGTAAAATCCGTGCCGTCAACCTTTTAAAATATTAATACAATATATATATTTAATATATATTAATATATATATTAAATATATATTAAATATAAATTCCGTGTTATAATAGTTTGATCTGTGAGTTATATGTATGTATTTATTATTTTTTTTTCTACTTGCCAAAATGCAAAAGATGTAATATTGCAATTGTGATATAATCAATGTACAACAGAAATTTAATAACATGTTCTTTTTAATTATACACGTTCAAAATATATTTATACTCTAAATAACATTAAATATTTTTATCTACATACTAAATATTTTTATCTATATACTTTTGCATTTTTCAAAATCTTATTCTTTGTTCATAGCTTCTTACTTTTAGTTTGTCAAACAAGTATTTTGGATTTCCTTTATGATTAATTGAAAACTTTTTCATTTTAGTTGGATCTCTCTCAAAACAAGTTTTAAGTATCGAGTCGAACATAAAGTTGAACATGAGCAATGCTTGAACATTTTTGGTATCAAATGTATCTTATATTTAAGATATTATTTATAATGTGCATATCTTGAAAAATCAAATGTATTTTTATTTAACATTGAAGAATTTTCCCACAAATAATATAGCAAAACAATGTACTTTACAATATAATGACTAACCATAGAAATCGAGTTGAAATTTTTATTATAATCATGTGTTAATTACTATATAATAAGGCATTAGGCACATAATTGACTTATACTACATAGTACTAAGTATATTGTTAAAAAGACAGTATTGTAATGAGAATGTAATAAATATATTCAATAAAATTATAAATCTTTGCAGGATGTGTGATGTATTTATTTTGTGTGTACATATTTTATAATATATTATAATGCCCTTTTAAATATTTTATTATAGCTAGGTAAAGCTATTTTACAAAATATTATAAAAGAAATAGATACAATTTAAATTCAATACAAAATAATTTCTTGTAATGTCTTTATCTCATTATCATTTTATCGTCTTTATCATTATTTTGTTTATTCTTTGTATATAAGTAAAAATTCTCAAACTATTTAATTAATGAATTTTATAATCGAGATATATTTCAAAAACTATTTTAATCATGTATATCTGTAATTACTATTTAGATTGATTATACTGTATCAGGTAATAGTCACTATAGTAACAATTGCCAAACAATATGTTCTTGTGTTGTGCATGTTCACATCAGATGCATATAATGCAAGTATTTCTGAAACAATCATTGTTAAATAATGTATACTTTAAAATTGATAATGATAGGACCAATTAATGTAAGACAATTCTCTATTGATTGATATGAAAAGTTTTATTACTGTATTATATTAAAAATTATATAATTGAAACAATATTATTACATATATGTATGTATGTGTGTACATATTCACTTATTTATTTATTTAGAGCGGAAAGACCACAATAGCGAATTTTCTAGCAGATGCTACAGAAATTCCGTATGACTATCGTCCAACTCAAGGTGTTCGAATATTGGAATTTGATATAAATGACATCGAAATAAATAATGAACGTACTTCGAGGGACATCGAATTATGGGATTGCAGTGGAGATCACAAGTATAGAGGAAATTACATGTATTTTCACGATGTTGGATTATAAATAAAAGAAAAATGATCTTGATATTTTATATATATTTTATAGATTCAAAAACTGCTGGCCAGCTATACGTAAAGGCGTACATGGTGTGATACTCGTATATAGTGCAAAAATGCAGGATTCTTCGAAACAGTTGAAAGAATTTTATGATTATTTTGTTAGTGGAGCTAAACTGGGACCAAACAATTGTGTAATATTCTTCTTTGATTCTGATAATGCTACATCAAGTGCATCAAAAATTATTTGTAAGTATATTAATAAATATTGATATAACACATATATATTTATATATAAATTTTACATTAATATTTCTTTTATATTGTTTCTTTCAAATAGTATAAAACACGAAATACTTATGTATTATTAATTATTTATTTCTCAATTTTATATAATTAAAGCATCTAGCTTCCCTAATGTCTCTCATGTCAAATGTAACGTGGATGATGGTGGGGATAAATTAAAAACTGACTTTCAGTTGTTTCTAAGTACCTTAATGACAAAACTGCAAGAAAACAAACAAGAGAAATTGATATTGAGTGACAATATATTATTTGCTAAATAATATATATTCATCTCTTATGGCAATTATGTAAATAATGAAGAACTTTCTCCTTTATGATATTAAGATCTATTTCTGTATTATCATTTACATTTTACCTGATCACCAACATTTCCTTCACATATTTTTTAATTACAAATTGTATCACAGAATAAAATGATTAAATATTATTTACAAATAAAAATTAAATTTTTCCATAATTATAGAACAAGAAAAATTTATAAATATTTATTTTCGTTCTTTGACTAAAGCTGCTGTTAATTCTTTCCATGCTTTTTCTACTTGTTCTAGTGTAATTTCATGAGACCATAAAGTACATATAACAACATTGGCTTCTTTAACTTGCTCTGTATTACTTGGTTGTATTTCAATTCGCAACTTTGCTGCTTCTTCAGATAATTTGTTTCTATTCATTATTCGTTTTATAGCCTGTAGGTACATTTGAAAGTTAGTAAATAATATTATGTAAATAATTACTAATATTCCATGTAAAAATAATTAGAGAAGATTGAAAAAATGTATATGATAAAACAGCAAAAAATTTCTATCATTAAATATAAATAAACGAATATAATTTATCTGAAAGACCAACCTCATTTTGTGGAATGATGCAAGTCCAAATTTCATGGCATACATTCTGCCATTTAGCTTGAATCAAAACAGCTGCTTCCATCACAATGATATTATAACCCTTTGAATAAAGAATATCTATTTGTTTTTTAGCTTCTTGTAAAATTAAAGGCCAGATTAATTTATTTAATTTTTCCAATTGCTCCTAAAATATGTATAAATCTATAGTAAATTAAATAGTAAGTAATAAAAGATTAAAAGTATATTAATATGAATTATTATATATATATATATATATATATATATATATATATATATATATAATGAAATATGTTACACACACACCTTATTGTTGAACACTATGTCACCAAGTAATTTTCTATTTATAAATCCATCTGAATTGAGAATGGAAGAACCAAAATGTTCAAGTATTGCATGAAAACAATCTTTTCCAGGTAAATATAGATCATGAGCTAGTTTATCACAATTTACAAGGCCAGCACCAAGTTTTTCCAACTTTTCAGCAACTGAAGATTTTCCGCTTGCAATACCACCCGTTAAACCAATAATATATGGTTCTGAAGGCTTATCATTTATCCTCTATAATAAAAGAAACAAAAGATTAATTTATACATCCAGATACACAAACTAAATTCGAGATACGAGATTATTATTTTATGATTTATTATCATATTACATTATATATTTTGTGGAAAACTTACAGGAGCTTGGAGTCTTGTACCAAGTAGTCGTATCCTATGATTACTAGAACTAATCTTTGCTTCTTCAATTTCATTATAACATTCATCCCCTGCTAATTCTACTATATAAATGTCTAGTTTGCTTAAATTTTTTTGCAAACGTAATTCATTGATTTTATCACCTCCTCGTTTTGTTTCTTCACTTACAACTATCATTTCTAATGTTGGATCTTCTTTAGTAGGTCCGTATAAATCATTGATAGGAACAATATCATATGTTATTGATGGATCTACATCTTCTAAAAATTCTTTAACTCCACTTATTCTTTTTGTACATGGTTGTATAAGCTCCCATAGTAATTTGCCTGAAAAAATATACTTATTATTTATTTCTAATTTTCAAAAATATTTAATTAAATATTTTATAATTTTTTAAATTTAAGTTATTATTATACAAAGATATTATTTGAGAGATTAAAAAAGAGAAGTCAATACCAGAAATCATATTAATATCTGTTACACCAACAGTAAGTTTTTCTGTACAACGTAGAGCAGCTGCACTTAATAAGATTTTATGACCATTGTGCAATCGATCAAATGTGCCACCCAACACTACATTTTTGTAAGTTGTTAAATTCTGTACAGCATGTTCTACATCTTTGTTATCATTTTGCTCTTGATCATAGTTACAAGTAACAAAGCTATAATCCATCGATGTATTAGCTAAACAATCTTGTATGAATGTATCTGCTTCTTTCTTACTGCATGTTTGATCAAAGATTACTATCTCTACTGGTTTTTTAGTATTTATGATGGATCTACCAGGATGTTTCATGTTGGTGAGTAAGACACGAATATCAAGTCGAGAGGCAATTGTGGAAGTGTTTACATATATATCTGCAATATTCTTAGAATATTGAGGACTTTTCTTTTGTGATATTGTACCACTATAGTTTCCTGCAAAAATATTCTTCTCTGGGAAATATTGAATGTACAGTGTTTTCAAAACATGTTTCTTGATCACAGGCAGTAACTTCCTCACTTTTGCAGGATTTGTTAATATTAATAAACCAGTATTTGCCATATCAAAATAGGTACATTAAAATTATTTCAACTTCCAGAACTATCCTTTTTAATATTTTAATTTACAATTAAATCTTATTTGACCTTGAACCCAATGCCTAGGAAATTATGCAATTAATCAATTAATTTTTTCGTATTTTTTAAATGAGAAAAACTTCTTAATTAAGCTTAAATCTTAAAAGAAAAATTATTTTTACCTATTATTATTGTCGTACACAGTAGCAAGACGAAAATTGTCTTATCTAAGACAAAAATTATATGGGTTTTTTTCCATAAAACACTATTTATTGGACTATCAAGCCACTAAAGATTAGAAATCAACATTAAAACTCGTCTTGGACAAGTTTATTATAGCATCTTTTTCGTTTCTTTGTCAGAGAAGAGGTTACATTGGATGAAAAATGTACTTCAATCAATAAATTTTCAAGAAAATATTTCTGTTACAAATAATTAAATGTAAACAAATTTATTCATTTTTCTTATAAATGCTGCATCATCAGCTATAACAATCATAAATGAGTGTTAATATATGCACATGTTAATATTTGACAATTAGGGCCATCACACACGACATTGCATAGCTGCATATGCATAACATAAGACCATATGGACTAATGAACATCGAGTATTATGTTATGTAAGTCAATATGGCGACTTAATACTCGATGCTCATTGGTCCATATGGTCTTATGCTGCTATGCATATACAGCTATGCAATTTCGTGTGTGAGAGCCCTTAGATTTAAATATATATATATATATATATATATATATATATATATATATATATATATATATATGTATATATTTCTTCATGTATTTTATTATAAATATCGTATAGATATATGTCCAAAATAGCTGAAAATGTTTAATAATGATTGACTGATTAATTATGTGAATTTCATGTCTTCCATTTCTTGTTTTATAAAATTTCATATCTTCCATTTCTTGTCCTATAAAATTAGAGAAAAGGGACGCACGTTCATCTTATCGCCACATTATTCATGACTTCAGACAGGAGTTGTTTCTCGAAATAATTTAAAAATTCTAAAAATTAATAAAAGAAAATATCGAAATATATATTAATTAATTGCAAACTTTTCTTTAGAGTTGTAATATATGTTGCGCTTTTTATATTAAATATGCCAATAACATTAAAAATATTAAAATTTTCTCGTTTATTCGCTGTATAGCAGAGAGAAAACTGAGAGATGTCATGGCCTGCTTTTAGGTGATCCCTGAAAGCGATATTCCCTCTATGGACATTGAAAACGTGGACATGAACTACAAAGCCAATGTCCATGAATGTTCTCAGAGGGTATCATGTGCACAATTTCTGGTTTCGTTCCGTGCTATGTGCACGAAATGCCGGTAACACCAGAGTATAACAAGACACTCATGTATATAAATTGATAGTAAATAAATTATGCAATCGTGAAAGATACTGTAATCTTCCAATGTAATGTTCAAAGATGAAATAAATATTTTTCTATATTCATTGCCATGTTTATATATTTTTATTTACTATATATTTTTATTTAAAATACAAAATGTCTGCTGTGGAATAAAAACATTTTTAACCGTTATTCTATAAATCTTAATTAGCAATAAACTGATCTTTGATATTTATTAATCACTTTTTTAATTATTTAAAAAAATTATTATATTATTAATTATTTACTTATTTATTTATTACTTATTTAATTATTAATACATGTATAGAATTTGTCAAATTAATCACTGATTGTTCTAAAGTTTTTATAATTAAGATTCGAAAAATATAGTTGCAAAATATTTTAAATATCTCTTCCTTTATATAAAATATAAAGAATTCATATGTTCCATTCTAATATAGTCAACATTATTTATATACTTTTATTATAATTTTCTTACCAGCATAATATTTTTATGCTTAATATTTTATATAATACAATGTACTAAATTATAAAATTTAGTATAATTACAAAATAGTATTACTATTAATAAATAGGTTGTATTCATACTGTCTTTTAATTTCTAATCATTTCCAATCATTATGCATTTGTATTATCTATTTCTATTATCTATTATTTTTTTCTTCGAGTTCTTGGATTAGTTCTTGGTTTATTGTATATTCCTTGGTGTTAAAATCATAGGGATTATCATCATTTGTCATGCTTATTCCTTCCTATGGAGTCCATCGAAATATTTTCTATGGACATTTGTTCTCTCGAGTATAGATATTCAAATCACTCAGAGAGAGAGAAAGAGAGAAAGAGGAGGAGAAAGGATTTGAGATATTCAAATCACTGTAGTTGTCTTTTTTCTATTTTCTCAATTATTGTCTCTTTTTCTTTTATTTTATTCAAAAATATTAATATAATTAAAAATAACATATATATAATTTTGATATCTTTCTTAGTCTAACTCTTTCCCTTCGATTTGTCCGGCATAGGTAATCCTAAGGCCGGCACTCATAATTCATTCTTATATTTAAGATCGTCTTAAGTAAGTTGGAAAATACAACTATTTTACTAACTGATCGGAATCTCAAGACGCGATCTAAGATCATACTTAAGATTATTTTAAATATAAAAATAGTCTACATATATGAATATCGGCGTATTATACGTTACTGCCGGCATAGCTCTTAGGTTCATTAGAGTACTCAAATCTCATCCGGCAAATGCCTCTGTAAGGTAGAGATACGAGAAAAAAATTTTTTTTAAATTTTATTTTTATTTTCTTTCAATACAGGGTTTAATACAAAAGTGAATGTAAAATATAATTTGAAACTTAATACAAAATAATTTTTATTTATTACATGGAATAATTTAATACACGAAAATGTCTCTAAAATATACATATAATATAAAATTTACTAAAAATTTTTATATAGTCCAGACAAGCCCGATTAGCGATGATTAATTATGCAACATTTATCATTGATAATCGATATGCGATAATAGAATTTAATAAGTTTTATGTAACGTAAATATATATAATCATGATTAAAAGAGTCATTAATAAAATTATTGATCATTTCTTCGATTGTAGAAGAAAATATTTGCATTACTATCGCATTTTGTGTAGATTATCAAAGGAAATATTCAAAATACGAAAAAATAAAATAAGCTTCAATCAACAATTAAATTACAAAATAAATCGCGATTTAAAATTCGCGAGAAAATGCGAATAAATAAATCGATAATAATAGGAATATTCGATTACGAGAAATATACGTATAATTTTTATAATATGATAATCAAAACTATCAATAGATACGCGCGCGACATAATTATTATCACACAAATGATAATACACGAAGATATTTTGATAAACATTTGTGGTCCGCATTGTTTATGAACAATTATTACTTTAATGATATTTATAGAATAAAATATAATTCCCGCGACGCTTTATCTCGTTCTATTTTTCAATTATTTAAAATTTAATTATTTAATTTAGAATCAAAACGCACAGCAAAACAATCGAATCATAAATCGAAAAAATTAACATAATAAAAAGCTTTGCGATACATCAAATTAACAAATATTATTTAATCCATGTAATCTAAAACTTTTATACACTTTAACATTTCGTGTATATGTTAAAGTACGTAAACTATATCAGCAGCGAATGGATAATAACACGATCGGCCTTGGCGGCGTATGACGCGCTGTGTTTACATGTACGGTCTTGATATCATTCACACGGCAACATTCGAAGAGTAAGGTGCGAAATATTTCGTATATTATTAAATTTTTTCTCTAACGATAAAACACAATTATGACTAGTATTAAAACATAATTCGCTAGGATAATTATAATTAGTACTTGCTAAACTTTTAATTGTAATTACTACGCGATCGGGAATGCCGTGCAAAATGTCTCGCGATTTTTGCGTATACTAATATTAACTAACTAATCTTAATTAATCTTGTTTTTAGGAGTGAAAGTGAGTGTAACGAAAAAATAGCGAAGGAGAGGAAAAGCAAGTCTAAAAAGCACTGGACCACGTACTAAGCAACATTATCCGGTAAATAGTTTATAAATTATTTATCATTTATATTTATCATTTATATTCAGATTATATATATATATATATATATATATATATATATATATGTCATTTATATTCAGATCATATTATATATTGCATGTTTTCTCAATAACGATTCTCTCTCTTTCCCTCTCCCTCTCCCTCTCCCTCTCCCCCCCTTCTCTCTCTCTCTCTCTCTCTCATTGTAAATTATCTAAATTATTTAAGTTTTTAAATTATATTAGTATAACATATATCTAAAATATTCTGGATTATCTTATTTTAATATACTTAAAATATCTATAATAAAATATTTTTATATTATTTAACACTTTTACATAGATAGTAATATTTCATAAACTGCTTCACAATAATATATTCCACAATAATATATTTCACAATAATATATTTAAATATTTTATGCATAAAAGATTCCGTAATGAATAAATTGTTTAATAAATAATCAATTTTAATCAATCAATTAAAACACTTCTATAATTCAATATTCTATGCGTGTGTATTTTATAGTACATAAAATATTTCAACAACAAATTATCAATAAAATCATGACTTTGGCAAGAGTAGTGCGTTGTTTATATATTACAGTTTTGCTATCATTTGCTCGGTGATATATAAGCAATAAATAATGATACGAAACGTTTACTAATTAATTGTTTAAATAATAAATAATCATTTAATTAATCTATAAATATAAAAACTTCTACAATTTAATATTTTGCGTTACAATCAAACAATTAAACTTCAAATTTTTCTAAAATGTGAACATAAACTAATTATTAATTAAATGACTGCTATCACAACTTTATTTATTATTTTAATATTTTCATTCTTATAATTCGTATATTATACAGCATATAATATGCGTATCAGTAGCATACGCATTGCTGTAGCAAGTAGCGAATGATTTTAATCTCGTGTAAAGGTAAATCTCATGTTGCTCTTTTATTATTTAAGTGCGTATATAAGTATGATTATTTTGTATGATTATTGAGAGTTTCGTGCAAAGTGCGCCACGTATTTGATTAATTATAATTATAATTATAATTAAATTGTGTTTTCGTGAGTGAATGAATGCCACAAAAAGAAATAACGAAAGATACGTAAGAGAAGAAAGGAAGTTTGGAACATACGGAGTAAAATGAAGTAACATGAAGTAAAACAATCGAATAATATATGCAAATAATTAGCATAACGAAAGGCCCCGTGACAAATTGTTTAATAAATAATCAATTTGAATCCATAACTTAGAATGCTTCTAATTTAATATTTCACGTTAATGTACAATATATTTTATAATATATAAAATATTTTGGTAACGAATTATCGATAACACGATGTTCGATTTTGGCAATGTGAAATATAAACAGTAGCGCGCTATATTACGGCTTTGTCATTATTCGCACGGTGACT